AACTATTTTTATTTTCTTATTCTCACGATAGCACTAAGTTTGTAATGAAAGGCCCCCTTGGGCCTTAAATATACAATTTATTTATTGGGGCATCCGCTCTCTAGACGGGTCGGATCCGGAGTGATGCCTGAAGGTAGACACCGCATTTTCGTTTTTGTCTCACGGAGTGAGGCCAACCTACCAAATGAGGTCAGTCTACTAAAAGGGGAATCTCATTGGACGGATTGAGGTCAAGCAACTGTGGGTTGAGATCAGAATGTGGGAGACATGGTGCGTGCGTTTGGGTGTGCGTCAGTTGCGTCTAGCAGCCGTGGCGGTTTCTTGTCCGCTTGCGCATGTCCCGAGGCATGCGGGAAACTGCTTTCGCGCGGGGTCCTAAGCTCTGAGTGACTTCGTCTGCGCCGTCAAGAGTTAGGAGGGCGTCGGACAGACACGAAGACTACATAGACACGGCAGGTGGGTCGAGAAGGGGGAGGGAGAACGGACAGCTGGCTGACTCCTGTCATGTCACCTCCGGTGGTCTCCATGTGAAACCTGAAAGTGTAAAATGTGAAATGTGAAAATCGAAAGAAGGAGCCGAGACCGGGGGAGGGCAGTATTCAGTTATGTGTATTTGAGTGAGGGAGAGTGTAAACAATCATTTTGTAGGTCAGACGGGAATTTCATCGGAGAAAGGATGTGGAGAATTCCAAACTTGTTCAGTTGGAAATAACAGTTTCAACTTGTTGACGTGGACTGTGAATGTGGGGGTGGAGGGGTTGTGCGCATCTCTAATCATATAAGTTGAGGGGGAATGACTTGAACGACAACGAACGGCCTCTCCCATTGGCCGGAGAACTTGGAGGGTATCCCATGGTTGGCGTGGGACGTCGATGGAGAACGTCGTCATCAGGGGCGGGCGGGTTGTTGTTGACCTGTTGGCCGAGGTAGATCTTCTGGCGTGCGTATGATGTCTCAAGGTGTGAACAAGCCAGGTTGTCTGCTAGGCGCGAAGTTTCTTGCAACTCAAAAGCGTACATATCTGGAGAAGAACCATCTGGTCTATGAGGTGGATGTGAAGAATCGGACGGAAATCTGGGGTGTCGACCGGTGAGGAGGAAGAAAGGGAAATAGCCCGCTGACGAGTGCACCGTGACTTGATATACCATCATGGTGTAAGGTAGTTTAAGATCTCAATTGCGGCGGCCGTGTGTTTCGACAAGGGCCTTGAGCAAATTGGTAATCGTGCGGTTCGGGCGTTCAGTCTGCCTATTACCTTCGGGGTGTGCTGGGGTGGTATGTGTCTTATGGATTTTGAGTATATTGCAGACGTCGCGAATGAGCCTACTTTGAAAGTTGGTGCCGCAGTCCGAATGGGGTGATATAGGAGCTCCGAAACGGCAGGCCCAGGCACTTAAAAAGGCATCAGCCACGGAAGCCGCATCTTAGCATGCCAGGGGTACGGCCTCTGCCCACTTTGTGAAGAAAACGACCATAAGCAATATGTACCAGTTTTTGAGGTGTGTGAATAGTAAAGGTTCCAGTACGTCAATGCCGACTCGCTCAAGAGAAAATCCGGCGGCCATAGGTTGGTGTGGTGCCCCAGGCCAACGGATAGGGCCTTTAAAACTGGCGCACGTAGGTCAGGTGTTGCAAAAGGTGGCAATTTGTTCTCGAAGGTGTGGCCACCATAATCTTTGTCGAGCCGCTGCTTTGATTTGAGATTGGCCGACATGGTCCAAGTCACGATGTAAGTCGGTCAGCACGGATACGACCAGAATCCCTGGAACTAATAACCGGGGTAACGTGTGGATACCGTCCTTGAAAAAGAGTAGTTCATTTTGCCTAGAAAACAAGCTTTTAGGAGACTCGCCGCATGGTTTTTTACCTGGACGATCATGCGAAACGTGTCACTTAGCTTTTCTTAACCCCGCCACTTCCCTTCATAACTAGCAGCAATCAGTGGTTGTGATCTACTTTAACCTGAGCAAAGCCTTCGACAAGGTACCGCACAGACGTCTTCTGGCAAAACTGGAAATCATTGGCATCCGTCATTCTCTCCTCGACTTCATTGGTTTCTACTTGTCTAACCGCAACCAGAAGGTCTTATTGGGTAACAGCTACTCGACGGCTCATTTGATCACGAGTGGCGTTTTTCAAGGCACTGTTTTGGGTCCTCTACTCTTTATTCTATGCACAAATGAAATTTCAACAGTCCTGAAAAATTCACACAATCTCATTTATGCAGACGACCTCAAGTGTATATACTTATTTTCTAAGGAAATGGCCAATATGTGCATTGATTAAATAAACACAGATCTACTTACGCTCTCACGTTGGAATACTACCTGGCAGATAGAATTTTTGCCATCAAAGTGTAGTATCATATGTTTTGGCTCCGCCAAGCTTCCTGGTCCCCTAATCTTTCAAAATACTCCACCTTTAGAACGATCCACAGTAAAAGACTTAGGTCTGAGTTACTCAAATAAACTAGCATTATCGCCTAATCCGGCTCGAAGTTCGGCGAAAGCTGCACAAATATGTGGTTTTATACCACATAATTTCTCCCTGCTGGAAATAAAGTTAAAACTGTACCGCATGTATATTTCATCCATCCTAGAATAATGCTGTCCCCTCTTTGGTCTAATGAATGTCTCTGACCACGGTAAGATTGAAAATGCTCAGAGAGCGTTTGCTCGAAAAATATTTGCTCTTCT